GCCCACCACAACGCCCGGCTATTTTTTGGTTGCAGCCGTCATTGTTGTTTGGCGGGTCCGGGCTGGGGATTCGAACCCGCCACCTTAGGTGTACGTGGCTAGCGCCTTAGCCGATTGAGCTATAGGCGCCGAGCCCTAACTTACATTTTCTACATCAAGTCTCCTGCAGACTCTTTCCTCTTGATTCCCACTGTAACTACTGAATCCATTGTGGAAACCAGACCAGTGACCTCTCTAGCAACCCCGCTGGTCTGGTCCTGTCTACACACAGCGTTTCCCGGTCTGTGGCTCTGGTCTGTGGCTCCTCCTTTCCCTCCTCCGGCCTCCTGGTCACCACCCCAGTGTCGCCTTTGAATTGTGCTTCTCCAGCCCTCATGCCCACAGTTATGAGGTCCTTCCCAGGTCCTAAGTTTTCATTTTCAGCTCCCTCCTCGTTGGTGCTACTACCCATCTTGCCTCTATCCGTGAATTCATTTTCTCTCTTGGGTAGATTGTATGGTTTGGAATAATATAGAAAAGAATTAAGAACTTAAGATAATATTTTTATGTTCAGAAAATACTTAAAAATCATTATAGGTATACGAGGTGTGGAAATGTAACGTGCTGTGCAGACACTCCAGCATAACTCTGGTGTAAATGTTCTCCACAGGCAATGAACACCCGGGAAAGCGGCAAAGCTTCATCCAGTCTGGGGCTTCAGGATTTTGATTTGCTCCGGGTAATAGGAAGAGGAAGTTATGCCAAAGTACTGTTGGTCCGATTAAAAAAAACAGATCGTATTTATGCAATGAAAGTTGTGAAAAAAGAGCTTGTCAATGATGATGAGGTAAGTCCAGCGTTCACTGCTTCTAACTGCTAAGCTGCTGGAGACGGCTGTTTCAGGGAATAACCCAGTATCTGTGCAGACTAAGTGAGATTTAAAATCTAATGATTATTAGATTTTTTTTTAAGTAAAACTTGTTAAGTCAGGTGTGATGGTGGGTGCCCTTAGTCTCAGCTCCTGGGAGGCCGAGGTGGAGGATCCTTGGAGTCCAGAGTTTCAAAGCTACAGTGAGCTGTGGTCCCACCATTGTACTCTAGCCTGGGTGACCAAGTAAGACCTAATCTCAAAAAAACAAATAAAAATAAAACTTTTACTATCAGGGGAAATACTTGAGCTTTGTAAAATTTTTCTAGACTGTTACATAATATAAAAAATCTAGTAGCATTTGTCTATGTATAAATTGTTTTATCATTAATTTGGCCTAGTTAAACATTGCATTTGTGATAATAAATGGCCAAGAGCGAATTGATGATTGATTTTGATGGTATCATTTTAGTCTGACAGCTCCCTTCTGTGTTTTAACAGGACATTGACTGGGTGCAGACGGAGAAGCACGTGTTTGAGCAGGCGTCCAACCACCCTTTCCTTGTGGGGCTGCACTCCTGCTTTCAGACAGAAAGCAGGTAAGCTTGAAAGGTCACGGAATAAAATCTGGGCTCACACCTGGGTGGGAAGAAGAGTCACAGAGAGACACGGCAGTGTTAGGCTTATAGCTTCCTGCTACTGTCTCTAGCCAGTGGTGCTCTCTGGACATCGGGTAAGCTTAGGAAATGATCTTTTCTAGGCAAAGAAGAAAACACCAGGTCATAATTAAGGATGTTGAAATCCAGCCTCGTAAATTTCCCCAGGTTTCTGTTTAATGACTAAGTTTCCTTGATTTTAGCTGGGGGGAACCCCCCTAACTTGTTAGTCCTAAGTGACTGTTGAAAGTGACTTACCCGGCTTGGCACCTATAGCTCAACCAGCTAAGGCGCCAGCCACGTACACCTAAGGT